GACCATTTTTAATTCCATTTAAGATTTTTCATTTACATTATTTGGTATTTAAGAAATGACACTTTCTTAAATTGTATTATTATATTTTATATATTTAACTGCATTATTTTATGTATGTGTGTGTGTGTGTGTGTATATATATATATATATATATATATATATCATTTATTTAATTTTCTATTATAAACGCCTCTCTAATTTCACCTGTCATCTTGGATGGATTATTTCACTGAGCTTTTGCAGTGCATAGTGGGAATGTCTTCCTCATGAAGAAAAACATTAGAATGTGCACAAAAGATCTTAGAAGGGAGTATAATTATTATTATATTAGCTCAGTCCTGACCTGTTGACCTCTTGACCTATTTCACTGCAGTCGTGGCCCTCTGACGTGATCTCTCTGTGTTTGTGTGCTTCATCTTACCACCATCCCCGTCTTGAGGAGCAGGTAGTGCACGGTCTGTGTGACGTCGGCTGCGTGTATCAGGTTGTGGTAGGGGTTTTTATGTTTGCTGTATCCCACTTCCAGAGCCTCCACAAATGAGACCAGCGCTGAGACGGGGATCTGTCAGAGATACGGAGTTAACAACTCTGAAAAAGACCATTACGGCCCTCAACTCTCACTTCGACCAGAGCTGTTTCACCTTGAAGCGGCTGATGAGGTCGTATCGGGTGAGGAGCTCGTAAAAGATGAATTTGAGAGCGTGGTCACCGCTCGACTCGTTCAGAGCAAATACATCAAAAGACCACTTATCCACATTCTGAGAAGAAGAAACACAGAAACAAACTCAGATACAGCACAGCAGCAGATAAATAATATTTTGGGCACTTTTATGTCCCTATAACTTTTCTTTGTTGTTTTATTAAAACTGCCTAAGAAACACTGTATTATGCCTTCATTTACATTTTAAAGTGCCTTTTATGTATGTTTTGTATCATTCTACCCTTGTCTCAGGCTGGACTTTCAGTCTTGAAAATACATCATCATCCATTACTGTGTGAAAATGACGGTAAATATATATACATATACATATACATACCTGTACACATATACATATACATATATATATATATATATAATAAAGTTGATCAAAAGTTCATCAGATTTTTATCATATTATTATAATAAAATTATATACATTTATATAAAATACTAAATGAAATCAAATACATAATATACAATAATTACAAAATAAATAAATATAAAAGGAATAAATTAAATAATTGTATTCATATTTTTATCAATATATTTTATTTCATTAGTTTTATTCATTTTGATAATTTAATAATTTAAGTACTATTAAAATAATCAATCATTAATCATTTTATTTCATTTTAATAATAATAAATTAATAAAAAATATTGTATTAATATAAATATTAATGATGTATTATATTACAAAAATATACAATTTCAAAATAATTAATAATATAATTATTATATGACAAAATTAAAAAAATTAATGAATGAATGAATGGATTTTTGTGCATCATTTGCCATTCAGCTGTAATGTTGTCAAATTAAATAAAAGAAGTGAGAGAACATTTTTTTTTTTAATTGTGTATATTTAGGTTACATCAGTTGCTAGCTATGAAATTACCCTTAGCAAGAGAAAGGGGTCAACCATATTTCATTTTCAATTTAATTCCACCACAGAATGCTATTATACACAGTACATCATCTGAGATATGGTGGAAATGTTCTTGACTTTCAGGGGAAAATTACAAAAATGATAGAAATCTTCTGTGATGCATGTATATCTACTCTTGTTAGCGAACAAATAAAAAGTGCATGAAAACTACAAGAGAAAAAGTATGTTTTGAAAGTTTCTTTTCTGAAGTCCACATGGCCAAAAGTAGCCAGAGTTTTTCATTTTTTGGGGTGATACTTTGAGAGCAAAACCAAGAGAAAGAAGCTGAGAGATAAAACACTGTCTGTTTCTAAGAATGCAGGAGTGTGTGTGTGTGTTTTACCTTAAGCACCGCTATGACAGATGGAGGGTAACTCAGTCCCACCATGTTAGAGGTTCTCCGGTACATTCTGTTAGAACCAGATAAAAACATCAAGTGAAAGCGCCAGCACAGACCACAGGCTCTAATCTTCACCTACAAAACCCCAGAACATCAAATGTAGAGGACAACCTGCACTTTCTTTAAGGAAATGCTTTGTCAAAGCAATTTATTTGTGCAGTGTTGCCTGAAATGCATTAGAATTTAATGAAATGATGCTAACGGGTGAGAGGGAGAGAGAGAGAGAGATATAAGAGAGTTATTCAGACTTGTCAGGAGGATGATGTATATGCATACGCTGACTCACTCTGAGCTCAACACATAGATTTATAATCATTTCACAGAAGACTTTAATGCTGCCTGGCAAGGGAAAAAAACTGAAGAGGAAGCGGATTGATTCATGAGCACTAGGAGATTTTGGCTTGTGTTCTTAGTTTAAAAGT